GAGACATCCTCCTCGCAGCCGGAACCCTCGACGAGCTCAGCGAAACCAAGCGATACTGGGTCAACTTCGAAGGCGCAGACGATCTAAGCGAAGGGAAATACGCCACCAGCATCCCCTTCGACTACGCCATGGACCCGATGAACGACGTCCTCGTCGCCTACGAGATGAACGACGTCCCCCTGCCCCCCGACCACGGCTACCCCGTCCGGCTCGTCGTCCCGGGCTACGTCGGCGGGCGCAACGTGAAATGGCTCAAGCGCATCTGGATCTCCGAGACGGAAAACGCCTCGCACTACCACATCTGGGACAACCGCGTGCTGCCGTCCTTCATCACCGACATGGAGAGCGCCCTCGCGGAGACCATGTTCCGGCACCCGAGCACCGCGTGCAACGAGCAGAATCTCAACTCGGTCATCGTGCGCCCCGAGCAGGGCGAGAGGATCAGCCTTGCAGACGCGCAGGGGGGCAAGGTATACCGCGTCCAGGGGTTTGCGTACGACGGCGGCGGGCACGAGGTGCAGAAGGTGGAGGTGTCGCTGGACGGCGGGGAGACGTGGTTGTACTGCATCCGCGAGTTTCCGGAGGCGCCGATCCGGCATGGGAAGAAATTCTGGACGTGGCTGCATTGGCATGTGGACGTGCCGCTGGCGCATCTGATCCAGGCGCGGGAGATTAAAGTACGTTGTTTCAATGTGTTTAAGAACACGCAGCCCGAGAAGCCGGCGTGGAATCTGATGGGGATGATGAATAACTGTTGGTACACGGTCAAGTCGGAGATTGTGGAGACGGAGGAAGAAGGGAGTCCCGCTTGTGTGTTGTTCCGGCATCCTATTGAGCCTGGGACGGGGGAGGGAGGGTGGATGAAGCCTAGTGTGGTGAACCAGGTGGAGGCGGCGAAGCGTGATGCCGGGACGCCGCAGAAGCAGTTTACGAGGGAGGAGATTGAGAAGCATGACAAGGAAGATGACTGCTGGATAGTAGTGGATGGGAAGGTGTATGACGCAACGTCGGTTATGGCGTGGCATCCTGGAGGCAAGGCGCCGATTATGGCGCATGCTGGAAGAGTGCACCAGGAGGCTACGGAGGAGTTTGAGAGTATCCATGATGGGTTCGCCTACGAGAAGTTGACCGGTAAGATGAGCTTTGCGCCGACTTTTGGGGGGATACTGACGTTGCAGAATGCTTACTCGGTGTTGTCACCGACAAGGCCAAGAACTTCATCAAAAAGAATGCCGAAAAGGCAGCGGCCGAGAAAGCCAAGGACAACAGCAACGAGAAGCGGGCGCTGCAGAAGCACAAATGGATTCCTACCAAACTCATCAACCGCAAGGCGCTGTCGGAGGACACATTCTCCTACACCTTTCAACTATCAGATCACCAGGCAGTTCTAGGACTGGGAACTTGCCAGCACGTTTTGATCGGGTTCCATCTGAAGGACAAGATGCTCGTGCGGTCTTACACGCCGACGCGTCCCATCCTACCAGCTGCGGATAACGCACCCAGCAAGGTATCTGAGAAGAACGGGAATGGAGTCAAGAAGCATGGCCCCGCAGACGGCGACGGCACCTTTGAGATGGTAGTCAAGACGTACTTCCCGACTGATAAGCAGCCCGGCGGAGCCATGTCCAACATCCTGCATTGCATGCCCATCGGAGGCGAGGTGGAGATCCGCGGGCCGACGGGTGAGATCACGTATGAGGGCAACGGTAGGTTCATCATTGACGGCGAGGAGCGCGTGTACCGACGAGTCTCTCTGGTGCTAGGCGGATCGGGCGTTACGCCGGGTTACTCCCTCATTGCGAGAATCGTGGAGTCCGGTGATGACGAAACAGAAGTTCGGGTCGTGGATGCGAACAAGACGGAGGACGACATACTTCTTCGAAAGGAGTTTGATGGTTTCGTGAAGAGGAGCGGTGGGAGACTGAAGGTCACGCATGTCTTGAGCCACCCCAGTGGTGAATGGGATGGCTTGAGCGGCCATATTGACGGAAAAGTTCTTAGGAAGAACTTGTTCCCTCCGTCGGATGATAGTGCCGTGTTCCTTTGCGGACCACCGGCGATGATCCAAAAGGCTGCGTTGCCGGCGTTGAAAGGTAAGAAGCCTCCCCGCAAACTATTATGTTGTACTAACTGGTCCGAGAATGGGGCTACGAGGAGGACAAGAATATCTTTGGTTTCTAGTCTATGTCTTTTAGAGCGTAGAATGCTTTTGCCCATCGTGTCCTTTAGTCTATCCCTGCCACCTGCGATAAACGTCAAACTGCTGGTGCATCCTCTCCTCCTGTCCCGGGGTGAACTCCGTCGTGCTACGTCTCCAGTCAGCCAATCTCCTTCTCAACCGCCATCATCAGAACTTACCAAGTATCGTCAGAGTAATCCATAAAGTTATGAATCGGATCCAACCCAGGCGCATCCGGGCACGAGTCCCTGCCCACAGGACACCCCGAGCTCGCGCCCGCCTGCGCCGGCGTATCCGCCACCTGGTCATTGATCCCGTCGCAATACCGGCCATGGAACGTGTGATACAGCCCAAACCAGTGCCCGACCTCGTGGATCGCAATGTGCCCCTTGTTCGGGACTACCGTCTCGTTCCCGGCGCTGCTGCGGGGGACCATGCCCGGCATGCTGTCGCCGTTGACCCAGCACCCATCCAAGTAAAACTGCTGGCTGCCGTCCTGCACGACGCCCGCGAGGTTGCAGTAGCCGCCGATGCCCTCGTTGAGGTCGCTGAAGAAGTAGACATTGAGGGCGTCGTAGGCGCCGCGGCGCGTGGCGGTGCGCCAGGCGACGTAGGCGTCGTAGTCGGGGATGCCGATGCCCTCGTCGTCGTAGAAGCCCTTGCCGGCGACGTCGTCGACGACGCGCGAGACGTTGACGAGGTTGAGGGAGAAGCCATGGCGAAGGTAGGTTGAGTGCATGACTTCGAACTGGGCTGTGTGTTAGCGATACGAGCGTTTTGGAGAGGAGGGGGGATGATGGCTTACCTGGGCGTCGACGGTGGCGTCGCTGATTCTGTCCTGGTTAGCCTCGGTGCTGGCGACGTGGAAGTAGACGTCAACCTCCTTAGGCGCATCTTGTCGCTTGACATATGTCGGCAAGGAGATCTGAGGGAGCTCGGCCGCGGCGAGGGTGTCGTCGTTGACGCATTGGAGTTTACCCAACGCCAGCGATGCGCCGAGCGCGAGGAGGGCAGTGGTGGCGCGGGGGAACATCATCTTGGCCAAAGGTTGAGCAGATTCTCACCGAAAGGCTGACCAGCAGAACACCTCGAAGCCATCATAGAGCCGTTTGTCACCGCCTATTTAAACAAGAGCAGCCTGCCCAGCAATGACGGCACAAACAGCCAAGATAAACATGTCAACCCATGGGGCCATCGTGAACACGAGGGCTTGGGCTCTTGGCGGACTGCTTAAATCTCGAGAAACTCCACCGCGGGGGTGACGCTGGATGCTCAGGGGAGCAAGGATGTCGAGCGAACTGCCGGAATGAGAGAGGCTCCCGAGTCGACGCGCCTCGTATCGCGGGAGTGGGCGATGATCAGATCAAAAAGCGTGCATATAGTGCTGTGTGCTGTTGGAAGGCGCAATTTAGACGGTCTGGAGATGGAAATAACCTTAACTAACTTCCTGTTGTGGACTTGCTGTCGCGGGAATATCCCAGGCGCCAAGAAGTCAACATTTTAGCGGTCGGCAGAAGATCCCAGCCTTAAACCTATGGATTGACCTGTGTAGGCTTCCGGAATGAATACGGCAGTGATAACAACCCACACGTACCGATCGGCGAACAGTGGGTTCGGCAAAGACCCGGCGCCGGGCCCGGTCGCATCCCGGAACGCTGTGGAAACGGCTTCAGGATGACCAGTTGCCCGAGCCTGAAATACGCGCTGCTCCATGATTCAAAAGAATCAAAAAATGAATTAGGCTAATGATTCTGGTTGGTGCTGATCTCAAACATCACACTCCCTCAAAGCTTCGACTTCTCCCTCCTCTGCCCATCCGCCTCACCCCCGGGCTCCGTACTACTCGTCTCCGCCTTCAGACTAACCGGGTCGCCCAGCTGCGACGGGTTGCCCGCCTCGTTGTTCTCCTCCGCAATCTGCTTCAGCCGCTTCTTCTCCTTGTCCTGCACCGGGCTGCCGTCCGAGTTCTTCGCGCCGAGGACCCCACCGCCTTTCTTGTTGGAGGCTCCTCCCGAGCTCTTCTGCGCGCCTTGGTCGCCCTCCGTGGGCACCAGCTTCGACACCTCGGCCTTGAGCGAGACGGGGTCGCCTAGTTGCGAGGGGTTGCCGCCGGCGACGTGCTTGAGGCGCTCGGGTTGCTTTTGCTGCTGCGGTGCGTGTGAGTGGAAGGGACTCGAGCTGGTGCTGGGGCTGGCGCCGAAGCGGTCGAGGAGGGAGAAGATTGGGCTTACAGGGGCCATTGTGTGTTTGTTGTGCGGTTTTGATTCTATGGATGAATTATCGTATCGATAGAAATTCTTCGATTTCGCAAAGAGCTGGAATACGCTGATTTAAGGAGTATTCTCCGTGCCCCCCCTGGTCGAAGCGCAGCCGTTGCAGAATCAATGGCGTTCTGGTGGTTCTTTGACGCCTTCATCTCAATGACGTGTATGACTTGGACCATACGTGACTTACAACCGACGCCGGCCGTGCTGAGGGAAGCGACTACCGGACGATCCCGTCATCGCCCTTTTCCACATTCCAGCAGCCAGAATCCGATTGCAAAAACGCATGTGAAACCCCAGATCAATCTACCCGTTCGTCTCTAGTCTTGGCCCTACATGCAGCCGATCGTCATCACCTGCAGACCCATCAACTTCTCGATGTCGGTAAAGAATTCTGTTCTAATGTATGTACTACTGTACTGAGGTATCTACCGCGCGCTCAACGCACGCAATGCTGAAAAAAATGATACAAACCAACTCCGTCTTTAACCCGTAATGCCACCTGTAATCGTCAGCCCGTGAATTACACACATGTCTATCCGTGTGCCCATCGTGAATTACGCCCGCACCGCAGCCGCCTGGTGCTGCGCGGCGCTAGCAACAGCCTGCAGCGGCTCCAGCTCCTCCTCCATGTCCCGGTCCGTCTGCTCCACCCCGGCAACCTGCGCATTCACCCCCTCGCCGCCCGGAGCCGCCGCCGTCGACGTCGCGGTCGTGGTCGCAGCGCTCGCGGGCGTCTGCTCCGGCGAGCCCATCCCAATGACGTCGATCCACTTCCAAAACTGCACCTTGCCCTCGCTCCTGTCGAAAATGGCCTTGTCGTCCATCAGCCCATCGTCCGGGCCGTTGTCGCCGTCCTCGTCGCCCGAGATGCCCATCTTGCCGGACCCGGTGCCGTCGACGAGGTCGCCGATCCACGTCCGCGCGACGGGCACGTTGTTCGCGCGGAGAAGCTGCAGCTGCGCGCGCAGGTTCAGACGCAGCGCGCGCTCGGGCTCTTCCGAGTTGAAGATCTTCTTGGTCAGCCAGGGGAAGAGGATGCCGAAGTCGGACTGGGAGAGGTGCGCCGAGTTCTCGACGTAGAAGAAGTTGGGCTCGGGGAGGCGCACGCCGCTGCGGCGGAAGGTGGCGGGGGTGAGGACGTTGGAGGACGGCTCCGGGGAGAGGACGCGCGCGGTGACGTGGAGGTGGTCGGTCCACTTGTAGAAGGCGTCGGAATCGACGGCGAGGATGGCGGTGCCCCCGGGCGCGGCGGGTTTGTTGGCGTACGCGGGCAAGGGCAGGTCGAAGAGGGCGGATGAGCCGGGGGCGAGGAGGGGGAAACACCACATGTCGAGGAGCATGGTGACGTTCTTCTCGGTGACCTGCCTGCAGAGGGCAGAGTCGCGGCGCGGGGTGAAGAGGGGCTTGGCCACGTGTGCGAGGGCGGAGGACTCTGCGTAGTAGGTGGTCTTGAGGAATTGGACGATGGAGGCGGAGCCGAAGCTGTGGCCGCCGAAGAGGATGCAGCCGGGGTCGTGGACGTGGAGCTTGTTCTTGAAGGGGGTGAGGGACGGAGTGGATTTGTTAAGGTTGGACATAGCCATGCCGAGGTCGAGATTGAGGGCGACGACGTGGATGAGGCCAAGCTCCCACAGGCGGATGCGCAGCTGGTCCTCGCGAGCCTCGTAAATCTCGGGGCGGGCGTCGTGGTCGAGGCGGACGTAGGGGACGACGCGGCGGGTGTTGCGGAGGAAGTACTGATCCTGCTTGCCGGGGATGCGGACGAAGGAGGCGACGGCGCTGCCGTCGCGGTGCTCAGGGCATATGACGACGATGCCGTGGGAGGCGAGGGAGCCGGCAAGGTGGGAGTATGTGTTGCGGTTGCCGCCGAGGCCGTGGGAGAAGATCATGGTCGGCCAGCGGCGGTTCGGCGTGTCTGGTTCGAGGATCTCGGCGTTCTTGTGGACGGGAATGGTGGTGTAGTGGAGGTGTCGTGGGAGGAAGCTGTTGGAGGTGATGGTCAGCTCACATTGTCACCAGGAGGAACACAGAAGGGAGACGTACGAGATCATGTCGGCCACCATTGGGCGGATGCCAATGAACTGGGTATACGCCGAGACATGCTGGCGCTGGGGCGAGGGCAGCCAGTTTATCCTCTTGCCGTTTGATTCAGGCACAGCTGGGTAGAAGACGCGGCACTGGACGGTGTGTATCTCGGTGGCCGTGTAGGGCGTCGGGCTGGGCGACTCGAGCTCGGAGACGGGCACCTCGATGTCGACGGTGCCGACCTTGTGCGGGCCGGTGTAGTCTGGGAAGGCCGGCACGGGGCTCAGGCGGGAGAAGAAGGAGGCGACCTTCTCGGCGGCCGTCGGGGGCACTTGCGCAGCGGGCGACATCTCTGCGTGGCGTTCTGCTCTGCTTCTGCAGTCGTGCTGCTGACTGTGTGTTTTGACGAGCTCACGGGCAGGATTGGTCGTGGGGTTTTTGGTCTGGTGATGTGATGCTGCGGTGCGCAAAAGGCTGAGAGGACGAAATCGTAGCGCAAGCCCGAGGATGGGAGGAAAAATAAAAAAGAAGGGACCGGATCGGATCGGCTGTGGTCGTGAGGACGTGATCGCGTTATGCCCTTTACAAGCTTTTTGCGGTCGGATATGCGAGTGTCGCGATGGTGTTTTAAACCAATGTTTCCGCCGATCCAAGGTGGTCTGTCGCTCAATGCGGGTTCAATGCGACGGGATGGAAGCAGGGAAAATGTCGCCAGCAAGGTAGGATGCGGAATGCAAGCAAGGGAGAGACAGTTTCTCTTCGTCAGCGGAGCCACTACCGAAAGACTTCTTGCTGAGGTAGGCCAATCTAATCAATTGGAGCCCAGTCCGGCGCGCTATGGCGTGCCGCCAGCCAGGATGCCGGTAACTCTGCTGTGATGGCGGACAGGGGTGTTGAGGCGTTGGTGTTGTGTCGAAGCTACTGCAAGCAAGCTGTGACCGGCGATATCCGACCTTTGGACACTTGTTCGCAGGTATGCAATTAAGAATGGTCCAGAATCATCAACAACGAGGCGACAACGTGGCCGCGTGGAAGACCGTAGACTGGAAGCAGGGCGAATTAGTCGACAGAAACGCAGTGCTCGGATGGGATTTCGAAACCCGATTGCAATTAGCTCGGCGCGGGTTTCCCTGCTGGCAGCCTCAAAAAACTCCAACAAGCCAAGTCAGCAGTTCCTTGTCAATTGCGTTAAAGGAGCAGAAGCAGAGGCCAGAGTCCAGACAGAGTTCTGGGTTGGATGTCGCGAGACCGCACGAACACCACCATCTCGCCCTTTTATGAGTGTTGGCCACCAACAATTTGACCAAGGTAAAAGGCCAAAGGCAAAAAAAAAAAAAGAGTAGCTTCCTTTTCTTGACAACCAATCATGGTTGCTAATCCAGGCTGTCGTGTGGCCATTTGCCCGAGCTGGAAACGTCATCTACGCGTATGAGTCGTGCGAGCTGTTGGCCATTGTGTCCGGCGGCCAAAAATCTTTTTTACTGCCTCGGTCAACGAAAACGGTTTAGAGGCTGAAAGTGACACCGACGGTAATAAGGCGAGGCCTGGTCTCAGTTCCGGTCCTGATGCTGCCGCTGATCGAGCCGCATGTACCTCAAGTCTTTTTATCCACCGACGGACAGCCCGAGATGCTCACGAGCGACAGGAACAGAAATCCGATTGGAAGTGGGACGCGACGGCGGCTGCTCCGGATTCCTGGGCCGCTGCAACACAACGTGACGAGATCAAGACCATTGAAGAGGGCAGGGCGACGCAACTGACAAGCTGTCACGACGAAACCCCCTTTTCCACCATGGTCTTTGCGTTCGCCAACGCATGAACCATTCTCAACGTCTCCAAACTGTGACGCCGGCCGCATAGACTCGGGACATGCAGAAGAAAACCGCCCTGCTTCGTCGAACAAGCCCGATGTCTTATCGTTATCTCGATCTCGATCAGCTCAGGACGTGCTCCACCAACGGCGTTGCAAAAGACAGCTGAGTCTCCCAGGGACGCTCCTTGTCACGATGAAGAACGATTGACGAAATGGAAGCGGCCCAGACCCCTTCTTCTTTCCCGACGGCCGGTCTGTTTGGTGGAGATGTTCGTTGGCAAAAATAACGAGGTGAGCAGGGAATAACGTCATTGTCGGCCCTGGAGGGCGCCGACGCCGCCCCCACCATTCCAGGAACCTTACGAGTAGAGATATCCGTACGGAGGAAAAATGGTATTCGTACGGCTACGCCACTACCAGTACCTCCACACCACCCCTTTTGGGACACATCCATAGTTTCAGCCAATCAGAGGCTAGGGATTCTAGAAGTTATGCAACTTTTCAGATTTCAATTTTTATTATAGCAATTAATATAACTTAATAAGATCTAGCGTTTTTAATATATTAATAAAAAGGTTAATAAAAACTATATTAACTATTAATTTAATAGTTCTATATTAATCTAGTAGTTCTATTAATACTAATTAAGCTAGTAGTAAGTAACTATAACTAAAAACCTAGCTACTTATAATTCTAACTACCTAAGAAGGCTACTAAGCTTAACATAAAGCTTTATTATAACCTAAATACTACCCTTAAGGTTAGTAACTATAAAAACTACTATAGTAAAGCTATTATAAGATAAATCTATTTTCTACTTAGCTATATCTTATCTTACTACCTTTCTAAAGCTATTAATAATAATAGAAGTAGCTATAGATAAAGTAATAGCATATTAGTAATAAAGTTACTATATTAATTATACTCTTATATAGAGGGGACTCTTACTATAATATAATATATTACTTTAGATTAAGAGAAACTAAGTAGTAGTAGTAAGTATATAAGAGTAAAAGCTATTAAAGTAGTAGTTAATACTAGTATTAAAGTATAAGTAATAAAAACATATTAAGCGCCTTACTTAGCGTAAAAGATAATAATAAGATTAATTTTTTTTTTTACATTTTAGTATAATATTAAGGTTTTAGATTAAGTAGAAAGTATTAAGTTTAGCTTATATTTATACTAAAAGTTAGTAATAATGTCCTCAACTTAAAAAGCAAAAGATAGTATAGTTACTAAGTCTTTCTAAATAATCTAATACTTATTAGTATTAGTAAGTATAAGCAGTAATATAGTTTTAACTATGAGCTTCCTACTATCCTTATAGTTAATATATAAATAAAGGAAAATCTTATACTAATAAAATAAGTTATATTACTACTTATAATAGCTACTATAAGTAGTATAAAAGATTAATACGTTAAAGGCTTAAGCCCTCATAAGTTTATATTAATCCTAAATTAAAGATTACACCTTATATAAGATCTAATTAAATAGCTTATTAGTAGCTAAAAGATCATATCTATACTAATTATTTTTTATATAGATAACCTACTTTATACTTATAGTCTTATATATTTTTACCTTATTAACTATTATAATCTTAATCTTCAAAAAAAGCTTATAAAAATTAATATTTAAGTTAATTAGCTAAATCTTAAGTTTATAGTAAGCACTCTTAGTATATAATATTACCTTTATATTATAATTATAATATTAATAACTATATAGCAGAGACTATTCATTAATATTATAAGTAAAAATATATATTATTAAAGTAGTTAAGGATTGCTACTAATAATAATATTAATAAATAATTATAGAAGGTATATAAGGTAAAAAAATAAACCTTTTTGCTCTAAAAACTCTTCTTATAGTTAATACTATACCTTATAGTAAGTAGCTTCCTCTTTTATATAAGTAATATACTTCTAAGCTTATAGAAGGCTAGTTTAATTATAAATAAAGTTATTATATCTAAAATTAGCTATAAATAGTATACTTAATTAGATATCTCTCTCTCTTTATCTAATAACTAGTTAACTAAATTTTTACTCTTACTAAAATTACTATTTAGCTCTTACTACTTCTTAAAGATATATTTAATAATGTTTTTTATAATATACTATAGGTAGAGTTATTATTATATCTTAAGAAGGACTATATTAATTATACTTTTTTAGCGTAGTTAATACTAAAGTTAGTAATAATAATATATAGAGGAGCAATTTTATTATAAAGTTAAAGTTTTTTAAAAGCTTATAGGTATTATAAGAAGTTACTTTTATTTTTATATAAACTAAAAGTAAAAATAATAAGGAAGGTAAAGTTTATAGTACTTATTATATTAATCTTAAAGAGAGGGAATTAAAACTTATTAATCTAAGTAGAAGCTTATTAATAATAAAACAAATAGAAAAAAATATAATACTTACGTTATATATTATATCTATAGAGAGTAGATTAGGATTTTTCTTCTATATCTTATATAACTAGTTAAATATAAAAAAAAGAGTATATAACTTATTATCCTTATTAAGGTTAATATAATACTAAACCCCCTTATTAGTTAATTACTTTAATAACTACTTTATTAATATATATAAGCTATAATTACTATATTAGATTTTTAACTTAATATTATAAATATCTTATTATATAAGAGTAATATTAGAGAGAGTATATGCTAATGTAAGCTTAGTTTAATATACTAATGACTTTATACTATTAGTTAATATAATTAACTAGAAGGCTTTATTAGTTATTTTATAGTAAGTAATATAAGTAGAAGGATTAATTAAGCTAAGGTAGTTATAAGTATAATACTCTTATAACTCTTATATAACCTATAAATTATATTCTTTTAGTAGGAGATAGAATAAGTCTATAAGTAGCTAGTTTATAAAGTTATTACTTATTATAAGCCTTTTAAGCTATTAATATACTTACTGTTAACATATAACATTCTTTTATAATAATAATAATAATATAAGAATAATAATAACGCTTAACTTACTTTAATATTCTATATAAAATAAACTAATAACATTTAAGGTATAAAACCTTATATAAAAATACTCTGTTTATTAC